AAAAATTGATCCTTTTTAATAGAACATTACTGCATAATTCTTTATTCATCGATTTTGAATCCACCTCTTCCTTTTTCTCCCCCATATAATAAAGATTATTAAGACTTCAAATAATGGTTCAGTGATTGCAAAGGCTAACCTTAAAATCAAATGCACGAAGAAGAGTGAAATAGATGTGATGTAATGAGAATCAATCTTGAGGGCAGCTGAATACTTACTTACACGAAACATAAAGATAATTCGGACAATGTATCTCTGGTATGTGGGTTCAGTATAATTCATGGGATATGTGAAGAAGTGCCAACACAATTGCCCCAATTGTACAAGGCATGAAGGCAAAGCTATCAGTATGTAGAATATAGGCCCCATTTGCCACAAATACTTTAATTCGCTCACCAAAAAGCCTCTCCAAACGCCTATAATTAAACAATAAACCCATCATCAAATGACAAAACTTTGTAATAGGAAAAAAAAAGAGAGAGAGAGAGAGAGAGAGAGAAGCATAAACAATGGGACATTGAACAAAAATTCAATGCAAACCTTTTGGACTTTTCACTTGATCGCAGTAACTTTTACTGCTACATATAGAACGAATGACACCCTCGAATTGCCCAGAAACTCGCAAAAAAGCAAGCCCCCCAAAAGAAAAATTACTTCTAAAACTGCGAAAAAAGATATGAAATAATTCTTTTATCATGAACTATTGGATTAATTGACACAAAGAAGCAGAAAATAAACCTAGGTTAACTAATTTATTCTTCACAAAAACAAGAAAATGAGAAATGGGTGTGTGAAATAAAAACTACACTACATATCTTAAAATCAAAAATGGATTACTGAAACAATCCGACTAACCTGACACTGGTAACAAACACTTCCAAGAGATGGAAAAGATCGATTAAGCGTAGCCGGGGAGAATTGGGGAAACGAAAGGGATTGGGGATTTGGCAGTCACGGGAAAGAGAAGGGTGGGCAGTGGGCTACTGGGCTTCTTTCAACATTTTTAAAAGACTTGGGGTTGGGTTGGGTGGGCTTTTTTTATTCAAGGCAAAAAATTAAGGGCCATATAGGGATAGAAACATAGCGGGTATTAGACGGGTCGGCAATTTCCACCCCCGTCATATCGAGTATTTTTGTTACTTTATTCCATCCCTATAACCGTTTAAGGAGGGACGGGGCGGGGAAGGTCCCCCTGTCTCATTTATCGTCCCATTTATTTTTTATTTTTATTTTTTGCTTTTATTTTTTTTTATGTCTTTACTTAATAAATATTATTACTTTTTTTACCAATTTGTTAGAAACAACTTATATTCTCTTTAAAAATATAATAAATCTATTATTTTTGTTTGATAAAAAAATTTAAATTTAAAATTAACTTTAAATGGGACGGGTAGCGGGGCGGGGACTATGATTCTCGTATCTGCTCCGTACCCGCTTCGGGGCAATAACCCTCATCCCTTCCCTGTCCCGTTTAACCGATTAGGCGGGTAATCCTCGTCCCATTCGGGCCGGGACCCCACGAGTTTCGAGCTGAACATGTTTTTTTGCCACCCTAAGTTGACAGAAGATACGAATTTGAAAGTGATTAAAAATGTAAGATACAAATAGAAAGGGAAACTAATTAAGATCCTAGCTATTAAAAATGAGCTCAAATCTATGAGCAATAGTTAATGTCCGAATTTATAAATTCATAAAAATCGGACTCTTTATGCCTAACAGAAGTTAGAACCACCTTTTGCCGGCCGCCAATTAAAAAATCGATCTTCACGTGTGATTGCACCAAATTTCTAAAGAATCTACACTAAAATAAAAAGACATACACAACATTTATATTTTTGTTCGATTGTCATCGTTTTTTTTTTCTATTTGTGTCTCACATGGTATTTGTTGAGCACCCCTAACACCTTTAAAGACGCTTATAGACTCGAATAGTAGGTGGGATCACAACATAACAAGACACCCTGAAAAAGAAAATTAGAAAAGACACCACCACTAATCAAGCCACTTGGAATACGAAAAAAGTGCTCGCTAGAAAAATGGAATAAGTCAATATGAGACAAAAATGTTGAAAATAAGTAATTTAGCTTCATACTTTTTTAATAAAATAATCTATGACTTTCTCTAATGTGAACCATTTGTAGTATGTCCCATGCTAAATGACTCTTTGGCGCACAAAATGAGTTGTAGAAAAATTGGTCACTTCTCCACTTATTAATTGGACAGATCCAATTGACTCAAAAGTCACAAGTCTTCAATTTTTGTTTTCTTTCTACCAAAAGGAATTTTCTATAGACCTCAAAATCCTTCAAAGTGAGATTTATCGAATTTACAAAATGATTTTAAATATGTTAAATAGTAGCTATCGCCTTTAATCAAAATGTTTGGAACGAGAAATTTCAGCATTTAAGACTTTTTTTTTATTTGCATTAATTTATTGGGGACCTCAATGAACATGAAAGACTGATTGAAATTTTCGACGAAAAGAAATATCGCTATTTTTTCTAACGTTACACAGTAATTCCTCTAAAGGTACTTAGTGGTGTAACTGTGCAAGGCATTCGCACGCGAAGTTGATT